CATAAAATCATTTCTTTACTTCCAAGACTTTCAAATGAATGATTCTAAAAAATCTGCTGTGACTGGACTACATATATTTGGCTAAAAATAACTGAGGACATACTTATAAGAACATACGAATATCTATAAATGCCTTTCCTATTACAATGTACAATTTGAGATGTTTACGTCAAAATTATTTAAAAACTATAACTATAATATGAACAATTCTAACAAGTAAGAACAGTGTATTGGGAATCAAACATAAAGACTAAATTGTACTGCTCCTAAAAGTATGTGTGATACTTTTGGTAACTCAAAGCTGTTTGGAATAAATTAAAACAGACCAGCGTTTCTTAAGCTGGAGTTATTTTAAAATATGTCAAGTTGCTTTAAACTGTTATCTTCTGATTGGCTTCCTAGGTATGTTGTCTCTCATTGGTCATTTTCTTGGTGTGTTGTCTTATGATTGGGTAGTTCCAGGTTTGTCGTTATTTGTGCTTCGCATTTCTTACTGCACTTCAACCAACGTTATACGGGGCTTATCAGAGAACGGAACACCTTCAGGAATTAACGTACTGTGAAATTTCAATACATGATTACGATTTCTAATCCTGTTGGTGCCTAAATACTGTTCCTGTTCAAGAAGTTGGCATTCAATTTCAAGGACAGAAAGCAGCCATGTTCATAAACCGAGATATGCAATATATGAACGTATAGCTTGCGATTCTTTATGCACCCATGAGCTTAGCAATAGCATATAATAATGATTGGCATTGAAATAATCACAATAGGTCAATTTGTAAAAGGCTTATTTTTTCTACTACGTTCTGTAAAATTAGCTTTATAATTAGCATTCATTGTGTTATGAGTATTTAAGTGGTAATTTCATTCTCGTATATTCTGTCCTGAGGTGCATTTTGTATATTCAGGGATAGATCTGTTGAGACTTGGCACTCCTATCATCTGTCATAACAGTATGAGCTGGGAGGAGGATCAGGGTATTAATGGAACTGAGCAAATAGGAATCAGTTAAAATAGCTCTTCTCCCCTGAGACTTCGTGCATCACCAACATCCTAAAGAATATCATCTCAAGCAACATAGCTGTTATAGACTACACCAATTACATTTCAATGAAAAACTTATAGCATCACTGGTTTATGTTATGAGATCAGTAGGTAATCTAGTAAATCACGTATATCAAGAAGAATATATGACTTAATTTTGAATGAGATCTTGACGGTTGGCAAATACAAGCAGCAATGACGTATGGGTAAGCATGAACGTCTACGACGGAAAGAGTCAAAATTCGGTGACCTTCACACTTCGTTAAAGCTGTTTGACAAGGACATCACGGTGTTGAGTTTACATTTGGGAATTTTACCTGCAAGATACTGGCTGGTAAAGGTAGGAAGAGAATAAAAAGATTATACGGAAGTGCGTCGTCCAAGAGATGCCAGGAATAACGTTACGTAATCCAGAGACTTTGATTTACCAAAATGCAGACTAAGAGTGATAGACAAAGCGGTACCCACTTGACGTGAAGATGAAGAGAAAATCCTTGACAAATCATTTCTTTCAAAAAAGTCAGTCGGGCACAACTGACTACAGTCCTGACTACGATCTAGTTATGTTATTCAATTAATACTTTTATATCATCTGCTTCTCACAGCAAATCTAGAAGGTTGAGTGGGCGTGTACAGTGTAAATATTCAAGTATTCAGCTCTGCTCAACCGATTTCTTCTGAAAGCAATTGTACTTTTGCTACGGGAGGCCGTTACTTTCAGCCCTGCTTTCTCATGGAAATGGTAAGTGGAAAATATGGGGATGGTGGAAACCCAAACCAGGGAATCTGTCACTGTCAGCTAACAAATTCTGAATTAAAGCGCATGAAAGTCTGATACTAAACTCCCAATGATTTATCTGATTTTCTAGTCGATGTATAGAAAACTTATTGTCAATGATATCGTATAAACCCCAATGATAATATCGACATTTTATAGATGACGACTTTTGAGGAAAATGGTGATCTGACAAGCAAGTGGAGTCTGTAAACTCATTCACTGCATCCACGATGTACATAAATGTATTAATATATCCACACCATGGTTTGTATTCAGTCAGAATTATTTTATTTGGATAAGAATAAAATTGATCTCTTTATAAATATCTTGCTGATGTAAGCTTGACGCTTATCAAAATATATTTAAAAATTTAGATAAATCTTCAGGCTTTAATTTTCACAGAAATATTTGAATTTACCTATATAAATATAATATTTTATTCCAAGAAATTGCCCGTACGGTATCAATTGAAATAGACCTTATTATTCACAAATTTACTCTTATATAAAGTTGTGCTAATCTAATGTATTAGTATGTCAAAACCATGCGTTGTTCATGTGTTGTTCACATGGTTGCTCATATGCTGCACGTGCCGAAAATCATATATGACATTTAATATATCATTCATTCATTCGTTTACATCATCATTCATACGCCTGTAGTGGGAGCGTTGTCGGTGTGTATGAAAATACAAATGAGCAGCAAGGATTGCGTTTGTTTTTAAGGCTTCTTCAACGATCTTTACAGTCGATGATCTCGTGTCATTACAAAGTGGTCGACTGAACAAACGAGGATATAAAACATTATTTAAACGACGTCAAAATATAAACAATATATAAATCACTTGCCCTGAAGGTAAGAAATGTTTTATCTTCAGTTATGCTTACTTTGCTTGAATTATACAATATTAAATTCAAATCGATAGACTTGGAATAGCATCAGTATTACCACTGGGTAAAGATGACTCCGTATAAAGTAAACATTCTAAACGTTTCGTCTATTCATACTACCACATATTCTACTGATTATAAGATATGTAATATATAACACTTGTTGAAATGCTTAGAATAAAATGCTGTTTACTTTATACGGAGTGTCAATATTTGTGCTTTACCAAAATATCAGACTATCTGGGCTTTTTTATGAGTCTATTCACTGAAACACGATAAACTTCACGAACGATTATTCATGAATACGAGCATGGTTATATAGTATAAAATACGCAATGTTAGGATCCCATCCGACATCTGATCTTTATTTTTCACGTTATACTTCCAACAATCCTTCATGTACAATCTTGTAAAATTACAATTTGTAGAGTTGATGAAGACGAATGTAAAATCATGTCAAATGTGAGGGCTAATAGGGTTTGAATTACGGCCAGCCATGTCATTTATATAATCTGTCGAATGAGATAAATATATTTCTTTCTTATAATGATTTAATTTTTCATCTTTTTACGAACTAAAGCAACAACAGCGTTCTCACGCGTGCTATTTAGGAAATTTATGGGGATATGTAATATTACTCATAATTTATTCAAATGAGAGATGCGCCCGTAATGATTTCATTTTACTATTTTATTTATATCCTTAATTCAAAAAGGGATTTTCTTACAACTATTCACTCGTGCCTGACTATCAAAATATTTTGTTTGAGATGTTTTCTTTGATAAACAGATTTCACCAGTGTCAACAATGCTTGAATCAAGATCAGCGATGATCGTAAAATATGGATTCAAAATTTATATGTAGTTATTGTCATTACCTCCTGTCAATCCTTTACAGACCTCGTGTGACACTTGTTTTGTAAATCTTGTATCGACATTCTGCTTGTTAGATAAACATAAATTTGCCAAATTTTTCCAAATCATCTCGTTGATATGAAATTTAAAGATGGATCGTGATTCAAAAAACCACACGAGTATATACGAGTAACATACGAGTACATACGAGTGACATACGATACATACGAGTAACATACAATACATACAGAACATACGAGTACATACGATACATTTTATTATTGTCAATAGTCGAAACAACAATTTCTTTCAATATGATATTTGCGTTTATTTTGTATTTGTGTGATTTTGGCAATCATTTGATGGATAAATGCTGAAAGGTATTTTACTTTTATACTACATCCATTTGCATGTTTTCAGCTGAATTTGTTATAGATACCACGATGATGCCAGTATTTGAGCGCTTTTTGAAACACTTTCACTTGAAATACATATTTATGAAAGCGATTAAATAAACAACGTATAAATAATGCTTTCAAACGTGCTACATGAAATAAATGTACATTATATATATTTGAATTAAATGAGAGTTGCACTGAACATGTATAGTCCTGAGACGGACTGTTTTTGTTGTTGTTGACTGATTTCTGACAACCTTTAGCGGTAGTCATCTTCAGAGTCAAATGAATGTATAATCGCTTCATAAATATGTATTTTAGGAAAGTGCTTAAAAAGCGCTCAAATACTGGCAAATCGCATCGACAAAAATATCTATAACAAATTCAACTAAAACATACAAATGAATGTAGTATGAAAGTAAAATACCTTTTCAGCATTTAAATCCATCAAATGGTTGCTCCAAAGTCCACACAAATACAAGGAAAATAAACGCAAATATCAAATGTATTGAAGAAATTGTGTTGTTTCTCATTTGTTGACCAGAAAATAGTCGTATGTCACTGTATGTACTGCATGTCACTTCTATGTAATTTGTATGTTACCTGCATGTACTTGTATGTTACTCGTATACTGCATGTTACTCGTAATGTAATTGTATGTTACTCGTATGTACTGCATACAATGGTGTTTTATCACGATCGGAAAAATAAACGTAATATCAATGTATTGAAGAAAATGTGTTGTTTCATTTGTTGACCAGAAAATAGTCATGTCACCTGTATAAATCGTATGTTACTCGTATGTACTCTGTATGTTACCTTGTATGTAATTTTGTATGTTACTCGTATGTACTCAGTATGTTACCTGTATACTGTATGTTACTCGTATGTACTCGCATGTAATCATCATGTACCGTGTGGTGTTTTAGTCACGATCTTAAAGATGGTACTTGTCATCTTTACACTTTCAATGATGCCTTGATTGCAATATCTTACTGCCTATCTCAATGTTGTATAATATATCTGAATGTTGTATCCTGTTTGGGCTCTATGGAACATTTATTGAACATAATTCCTAAAGAAATGCTGTTAGAATATTATTGAAATAAAGAGAGATTCCCATATATGTATCTCTTTGTTATATCTCATATTTCAATGTTGGATCACATATCTCAATGTTATATCACATATCACAATGTTGTATCAAATATCTGAATGTAACGTAATTTTAATCATGACATTTGTTTATATGCACATGAAAACATGTGACTTGACGAGATTTGAACTTGCACCTTCAGGATACTAGGTATAGCTATGTTATTCTCTGATGATGGCTTTGAACAATATCTCAATGTTGTACCACATTCCTAATGTTGTAACACATATCTCAATGCAAGAAGATAATTTTAACCCTTAAGAGGTGGTATATCTTGTATTCAAATGAAATAAAACCAGCTAAGGAGGAAGTTTGTTTGCTATTAGGGTTTTATCCTAAATTTCTTCCTATTTTATTATGCATACTTTCAATTTCTATGTAATATTCTGCAAACTCATATCCTGCAAAATTCTTGATATCATGTTAGTTTATGTAGTGCCTTAAAATTGTTATTTGGGTTTTTTGATGTGATACTTAGAAAGTAGAAACAGTTGCCTAATCTTGCTCAAAATAACAACTGATTTTAAAGGGAGGTAAATTTGTCAGACATGCATGAATGAATTTTGCTCCCTTTCCTCTAGGCACCAACTGTGGAACAGGTTACCACATTGTTTGAAATTCACCCATTTTTAACAGTTTTATTTTCCTTTAATCTGTAGTGGTCCTGATCCAAAATGTCCCGAAGATCAGGAAAAGGTGAGCAAGAATGAGGTAGGTGGAAATATTTCAAAGTTTTAACAGTTCAATCTACTAGGTGGCTGAAATTCACCATTTTTCCTGTTGCTTGTAAATACATATTTCAAATGGAATTTAATAGTTACAGTTGATTTTAACATATTGAGGATTAGTTTCTGTGCACAAAGATGTAATTCATTACTATGAAATGTACTCTTTCAATGTGTAGTTTTCTTGCATGTTTTTAAGAAAATAATTAAGATTTGTACCAAAATTACGTTGATGATTTACTGTTTTATTGAACTTCTTATGCAAACTTAAATTGTGGTGAAGTAATTTATCTGTTGTTGCATTCTTGTGACGTAAACGATAAATTCTTCAAACTTAAATAGGTTTTCTCGGATGCCTTCTACCAAGCGTGAAATAAAAGATTCAATTACATTGTCTCTCTGAACAGTGCAAATGGTTTGTGCTTCACGAAGAATTGGAAGTGAGTTAAGTTTATCGAAAGATTGTTGTCTTATTAAGTTTCTTTTTGTCAGGGTCATTATGAAGTTTGTGAGCATGCGCTCATCAGCTGTATACACAAGCAATGTAACATTCAGTTACCTCTGCTTTCTCCCTTGGCGAACATTTGAAGAATGATTGTGAATATCGAAATGTGAAATGTGAATATTGTGGTAAAGATGTCCTGTATGCTTCACTTAAGGTATGTAAAATATTTGTCCATTGATCACGGAAACACAGCCAGATGAGATAAATAGTCTGTTTCTTAATGTGGATCTTATTATACATCTGTATACTGATTATTGTTGTTACTTGGCAAAAAGAATCAACTCCTTTTTAACGCCTTTAAGAAATTAGATTGAACTTTATATCCACCAAACAGTCGTTACCTTGTATTATTTTTTTGCCATGCAGGATCATAAAGAAAATGTGTGTGAAAATGCACTCGTCACTTGTAAATATTGCAATCAAATGATACCAAGGAAGGATATTGAGCACCATGAAAGTACAATTTGTGATGAAGTGCCCACTAATTGTGAATTTCAAGCTATTGGATGCAGTCATGACAAAGTAAGAATACTTGAACTATTTTACAATTTCATGTCTGCAACGATGAAACGTATCTGCAAAATTCTTTGACCAAAAACTAAATTTTATTGAAAGTTCCAAAGAATATAACATTAACATTCTATGAAATTGACATTGTTTTTAACAAATCATTTATTCTTGCTCAATATATTAAAAACGTTTTCTATTGAACCCTGACCTCTTCCGTTTTCGAGAATGAAATTTCTGTTTGTTTTTTTTTCTGTGATACTTTGTGCTGCAATATGTAAAATAATTAGTTTGTAATGTTGTCAAACCGCTTTGACCTGCCAGTTGACATTGTATAGGTTCTCTGTTTGAAAACGGGGCATGTTTGTGCATTCTTATTAATTTAATGATCTTGCAAGCTTAGAGGGAAACAAAATTTGTTCTTCATCATAATTAGATAAAGATAACCGAAAATAGTTGCAAATAACGCTATTTTGTGGAAAATAATGCTTTGACATTATCTTTTTCTTTTTTTCGCAGACTTTAAAACGAAAGGAGATCCGTCAACATATGAATGACAATCTAATTCATCATGTGATCGCCTTGTTACGATATGTTATGGCATTTGTTACACAGTTAAGTAACTCTGTACCACGTCCAGAGTTTACTACTGCAGTTCAAAACCTGGGCGACCGAATCACTGCTGTTCGTGCCAATCTTTCAGACAAATTTTTCATCTTAGTTGGAAAACTTACAGGCTTAGAAAGGAGAATTGAGAGTCTTGAGGATCGTTATGGGAACAATAATAACACTCAATTGTCTGTAGATGGTTCCTCAATGTGAAAGGATTGCGACCTCGAGCGGCAAAGAGATAATTCATTCATTATAGTACAGTTTTACGAGCGTTTCGGCCATATTGACGAATCATTTGCGCGAATTCAAGACATGGCTGACCAAGTCCCTGCTTTTTTTGTCAATCTCTTTGAAAAAGTGGAAATTTTAGAGCGTGAAGTGAGAGCTAATACATCTATTATACAATGGACTAGCGAGCGTTTGGACGAGGTAGACGAATTGTGTGCAAAACCCGGTTATGGGTGCACAAAATGAGGCGCGCGAACTTTGATTTATGCAAAGCAATTATTGCTAATTTTCGTAATTACTTGCCAATTTATTATTTTTCTCACTCCTGTAAATGATTTTTATTCTATTCAGTTTTTACATTTTAGTAATTTTGAAGAATGTTCATTGTATTTTTTATTGTATCATCCATCCACGATGATAGAATATCCTTGTAAATTAATAATACAATTGTGTTGATATTATGCTATATTGTATTGTAAAATGTAATTTAACATGCAGCTTTGATATAGCAAGATCATAAAATGATGTCCATTTATTTGTAATTTATATTTCTGTAAGTTTTATCTGAAAAACTCCATATAATAAAGAGTCTGTGAAGAGCTACCGTATGTTCTGTAAGTACAATAAATAAAAAGAAATTGCTAATTAAATGTAGCGTAAGAGAGCCACATCCACTAGTTCCACATTTGTTATTTTGAAAATTTTAGATTTTATTGATTCATGATAACCACAATTTTAAATCTGACCCATAAGTACACTGAACTAGCTAATCGCAATGCGAGGGTCCTGTGATTAAAGGAAATAGAAAACTAGAACAGTGTGGACTCCATAAAGAAATCCTTCCAATCCTTAATGCCGAGAAAGACCTCTTAATTAGTTGCTCGGCAAGACTTGATTAGAAAATTAAGAATTAGAAATTAGAACTTTCTTGTAGCAATTTGTTAAACTCAGTAAAACATTTTTACGTTTAAAAATAAAAGAGCTTTTGACACAGATAAGTTGATCCATTAGAGTTAAAGGGAAAAATTCATAGGATACTGATGTTGATTAGAACCATCATTTTGTATAGACTCAAGCTGAAGATGATCATCTGATACCTCCTCATGCGAAAAAAGGATGTATTTACAGACTTTAATAAAACGATTTTATTAAAGTCTGTATTCGATATAAAAGCCCACAGTTTTAGCTGGACTTACTATATACATATAATAAAGCTAAGGGCATCACTGTTTTAGTGTTGAAGATTTCAAATTGACATTTTGGAGAGTGGAGTTTTCGAAGATGCTTGAATACCACTAAACATCCCAGACCATGGCATTATCTAGAAAGAGCTGGTCTTGCAACAAATACACCTTAACCAAACCTAGCAACGAGTGGATGTGTACTCAAACGAGATGCCACTTGGTAGCATTAGGATTGTACACAAGGCGCTCCTTGCATTAATGCTGTAAGATAAACCTTCCTGGTAAAATTTTGTAAGAAAATTAATGCCCTCTTCTACAGAGGACGCGACAGGATCGATATTGTTTGCACTGCAATATTGTCGCCTACGGTTAAGGTATGTAGAATATTGTTCTTGGTACCGGTCCACCAGGCGTTTTGGATGATTTAGAAGCCCTCTAGAGAAATACCTTCATCAGAGAGGAGTTTCCGATAAATGGCAAAGTAGTACCTCCAGTGTATTGATTGGGTGGGGATGTCGTTTACCTCGAGGTAAAACAACTGGATGTGCTATTAGCATCTGCATTAAAGCTGCCCCCAAATTGTGGGCAATTAAAGACTAAGACTAGTCCTTTGCTTTTCTCTTGTACTATTGTTTGTAACACTTGCGAAATTATGCTAAAAGGCGGGAACCCATAAAATGTATAATAAATGGCTCACGAGATCGTAAAGGCGTTGACAGCTATAGCATACGGGTCATGTTGGTATAAAGCATAGGGTTTCACTTAATTATTCAACATTGACGCAAACAAATCAATGTTCGGAGTTACATGAGTTACATTTAGTTTTTGAATGGCACACGTGAACAGAGTCTTGTTCAACTGCCATTTTCTCTGCATGATATTCGAGATTCTCGATCCGCAGTGACAATTTGTAATCCTGGAATGTGCGTTGCTGTCAACGAAATATACGAAGTGCAGCATGTCTAGACTTTGCAGGTCGACTTGTGAACTGATATTGAGTGGCATGTGCCCTATTGGTTAATGCAAGCTACAGCGGTAGTATCATCAATTATTAGCTTAACATGATGACCTTTTAGTTCTAAAGAAAATGACTCAAGGGCAAACAATACCTCAAGAATTTTCAACAGTTAAACGGCTGGAAGCCTCCAAAGGGCATCCAGTTATCTCAAGCACATAAACCATTAATGGAGCAGCATCACCTTCAACGAGGCATCTGTTTTAGGCAAATGCTAGGCTCAATGTGGTTATAAAGTGCCAGTGAGTAGTGCGTAATAATGACTGTCACCATCTTAAATCATGTATGGCCTCTGAAGACAGCTTGTCCCGTCAAATTTACTCGCAGTTTAACTTAGGGGAATCGATTTTATATATTTCCAGCCAGCAATAATGCAACTGATTCGTACATTACGCCCTGGAGACTCCTGCAGAGTGCCCAAAACCCGTATAACATCCCTTATTTTGTGTGAGACGCTTGTAGCAGCTCAAAAATGCGTTTTATCTTCCTCAGCTGTTCTGTAGTCACAGATATTCGCATAAGAACTGATTTGAATTGGAAACCAAAAGTTGTATTTTTGGATAAAGCTCATTGAATAGGAATAGTGTCAAATTCAATTTTTTCCAACTGTCTCAAGATTTTCTTATCAGAGTTGAGTGTTTCCCATGCTCTTAAATTTGATATGCTGCCAGCCTGATAGGTCTCAAAAGCTTTTATTTAGATACGCTTTTAGCGTGGATACAAAAAGAAGAATACTGGTTTCTATAAAATCTCAAAATTTCTTAAAAATTTGTTTTTTACTTGCGATCGTTCATTGTGTCCGATCGTTTCTTTCTGAATTGGTTCCACTTGGAACGATAGAGGGTGTTGCCCTGATGACGGATGAAAATGGCGCCATTGTCGCTCTTGTTTTGAATGTTGCTGCCAATGTTATTAGAATTAAGAACTTGTTGTCGCGTTGTTAATTTTTGTTTGTGCGAATGTGATTAATTTGGCTTGCAATTCATCTCCAAACAAGTATTTCGTAATGGGAACATGCGATGCGCATAAAGTACTAAATTCTGGATGGAGATTGGGACGTATAGCGTCACATCGTCGTTTAGACAATTCAAAACTTACATGTCACAGGATTGCCATGATAATAGCGTTCGTACAAACAAGATCATCAATATTCAGTTCACTGCATGCTTTTATTGCAAGCAACCAACAGTTTATTGGTGGTTTGTGTTGCTATATTCGTCATGGTTGATTGAATGGCACTCAATTGTAAATCTCGCCCTCTAGCTGGGTGGTCTAATTTCTCCCAAATTTCGGGGCTTATGTTAGGTACAGTAAGACAATCGCAGTTCTTAGGACTAAAAATTTTCCTTCAATTGTTCGTAGCTCAGCTTGTTCAGGCGGTGGATAATTGAGGCCAGCTTCCTGTTGACGATTGGTGAAGTCTCTCAGTTTCGTCAAGTGTTTGCAGGTATCTCTTTCCGCAGCGGGTCCACTGCTAGTTGTTCTGCTTCAGAATTGCGCTTGGTCGAAAGTTCTTCGCAATCTGCGTCATGCCCTGACTAAAGCACTTGCTTTCCTCTTACGAGTAGATTCCACTGTAGAGGATACTGATGTTTCCTGCAAAAGCTGAGTGATTTACCTATGTGGTTGTTGCTTCACTATCCTACCAAGGGTGGTTGCCACATTCAAATTCCTTGATGTGACTTGCACATCTTCGCTTTCTTCAATGTTATCGTGTTCATCGTGATCAGCAAAACCCCGGAGTGCTGTTTCATCTCCTGTCGTATACTCTTAATAATACTCATAATTCAAAAATTTGTAATATAGTGTGGAAAGGAACTTTTTGTAACTGATCGCTGTGAAATCTACGCTCGAACTGATCTTGATATCGCGCGCTCTATCTCACATGACTTCCTAGTGACGAAGAACAGTGACGAAATAGAATTTGCTTAATTTAACGTTTATATGGGATTTTGCATACTTCTATGGTATGCAATATTTATGAACATTATATATTAACATCGATATTAGATTCATTCTTTTCCAGTGGAAAGGGATGGGTTTAACTGAAGGTAAATGATGTATTGTCAAAACATTAACACCGATTATGTTACTGATATTTAATATGGAATTCGAGCTTTGTCCATGAACTGTTCAACATGCTTCCAAACAAAATGAGCAGGAATATTCAGTTGATTAATCTATAATAAACCTTTTACCTTTTAATTTGCTATACCGGTCACAGCCCGGGACTTGTAGCGTATAAGGCTCTCTGCTGAGTAGACTTGTCATGTTTATAAGGATGGAAGGTTAATTTCTCAAATGTTGTAGGCAGTGTACAGGTCACGCGCATGTCAAAATTTTGTATTTTTGTTAACAACTATTGCATACGTTTTTAATTTTTGATATATACTTTTATACGCACCTATGTAAGCACCCCATGTTTTAGTGTTGAGACATCCTTGTTTTCCATTCTAGAGAACTTCAGCATTCACAAATGCTTTGTATTATTTGTCATACAGCAACTCTTCAATTTTACTCCATTTGAAAATTTCCATCATTCCATGATAGCGAAAGCGCTGACAAACCTATACACATTTGCCTCTACTTCCGCGTTACATTGTAAATATACGAGTTAGTTAAAGTTAATTTCTGAATACAGCCATATTATATAGGTATAATTATGTATAATTATGTAAGATTTGTAGTCACATCAGATATAATTATGAATTGAGTATGGAGAGTAGAAAATCTAATGATATACAATAAGTAAATTGCGAACCGGTACGAGAGTTTGTATTTATGTACTCTATTTCAATGAATTACAATCTCAACTGTTTTGAGTAAAATTACCATAACGATCAACATGGCCTACGAAAAAGTACTGAAATGGAGACTTCAAATATGGCGTTGACGTACGTATCTCCAACTTCCATAAACAAAAAATTCTCCCAAGAGCTTACCCAGCTAGCAAAATCACGTTGTCTCAACGTTTTACCAACGTTCGTCGAACGTTCACTCAACGTCGAGGACCAACGTTGAGACAACATGATTTTGTAAAATCGTAGGAACGTGGTGGCGACGTTAGGATAAACGTTGGGATGTAACGTATTTTCAACCTAAACCCGACGTTTATACAAAGTTCATACAACGTTACTCCGGCGTTCATACAACATACAATAAATGATGCATTATTTGTGAAATCATAAAACAGCCTTTCAAATGATACGAACTAAAGTTTAATTTCCTTATAATCAACTTTTAATTCATCTATTTTGCTGTGAGTGTTTTAATATACATATTTACAAAAATGCTAATTAAGCCGATTCCAATAAGTTGCCATTTTGCACCTGCAAGAAAATAACATATATGATTATTAGAAAATGGTATCATACATTATTTTTATTATATGTCTTACCACCTACAACAACAAGACAAATTTGCCTGTAAAAGATGCCATTAAAATGGAAACTGAATCGTCTGCTTACGTACGTCGGACAAAAGAAATTATCTCGCGCTACAACGTCATCTCATACCCACGAGAAACAAAACAAGTGAACAAAACTTTAATCGTTACGGCACCTTTTTCACATTTAACCAACACTTGCTTTTTTATATAAATAATAAAACAATTATTGAATTGGGTTTTCTCGTAATATAAAGAAATATCAAGGCATCAATGTGCTCTATCTATTCCTAAGCGTTAGTAGACTGAACAAACCTTGGCCTTCATAAGTCTTAATTCATATACTATTTCATTCTATAATTGTTTAATATCACGCTAAGCAAAGTGTATATTATATAGTTAATCATGCAGTTTGAGTTAAGAAAATTTAAAACTTGCACAAATCTAATACCTGCACTAAAATGAACGTTTTTAAAGGTACGCATTATGTATATGTGTCCATTCCATTTTGCTTTACTTATAATTGAAGGACAATGAAAGACACATGCTCACTTTCTTTAAGTGCACATGCTAATAATAAAGATTGTGTATTTTTCTCAACTTACACAGACAAGAAAATACAAATATGTTAACTATGAGATTACGGAGTAAAATAAGTTGAGTTCTCCTGTCTAAGTTGAGAATATCAAACAAAGGAAAATGCATCTATATACTTTACCCAGCAATCTACATGATAATGACATGTTACCTTAAATCTGAACCACCTTGCTTGCCTGGAGCATATTTTAAAAATTCGGCAATTTGTCTTCAACGTTGGCCTCGCTGCATCCTTTATGAGCTCTGAGGCTGGCTTCTAAATAAGTGAAACGAAACAGAAAAAGACATACTTTAAATAAATTGCATAGATAAAACACTAAATCATTTTCGTAAGGTGAATGATAAGCAACAATTCATTATAGCATGCAAAACAGTTTAATGTATTAGCTTTTAAAACTTGTAAACAATATTCCTTATGACAAGGAGCAACATAAATGGCTGTTTTTCCAATTCATGAACGAGAAAAAGAGACACAACATGGTACTGCTGCAGCAATCATTATCGTCTAATTGTGCTTACTTGTTATAACTTTGCAGAGGGCAAGGTGCTGAAATGGTCGCTTTGACTTTCTGCCTTTAAACCAGGTGGGACCATAGATTATTTGTTCCAGCTTTGTCATAATTCTTCTAACACTGTTTGCACTGGTGTTTGCGCACAGTGCTACCAAAAACTGCAGCTAGTAAAGAGAGTAAAAGATAAATTATATGGAAAAGTTCAATTTAGACATATATATATAACCATTTTGATCCCGAATTGCAAAACAAAACCATCCAAAGTGAGTGGTCAAGTTTCTTCTTCCGTGATCTTCAAGAAAGATCAGTTTCTTCGTTAAAATTTTTCAGAACAAATAAAACGACACACTCCTAAGAGCCGTTTGAAGTATAGTAACGTATTTAAATCTATCAGAACACGACAATGCTCTCATGAAAAACGCGAAACTAGATTCATATAGTTTAATCAGATAGTCTGACCCCCTAACGTCACGAAAATCGTCATTAAAATTACGTTTCAGACTTTAACAAACGTGCATGTTTTCAAGCTTCAAACACAAATGGTAGAAAAAAAGTCAATATTATACACGTAATTGCAAAAACCTGTTCACGTTTTCAAACCGATAAAGGGCAAAGCTATGCCTTCCTTTGTCAGCATCTTTTACGTAACACTTGAAAGAGTCAAGCATAAAAATAGGCAGTGATAATAAATGTTACTTAATGCCTTTGGTGGTTAACTTTCTAAACTTACAAACTTTCTTCTGGACTTTTCTTCATCAAGACTGAGAATAGGTCCTCAAGTTCTTAAACCGAATCTAAGGGCTTAGGTACAACATCTTCCAAAATTTCGTGCTCGTCTATACCTTTCGTAACGCTTAACAGAGCACGTGATATTGACGACGCTTCTTCTTGCTTATCAATTAATGTTTCCAGTTTGGTGAAAACTGATCTTTGGAAGCCTACAAGATAGATAAGAAAATAATAGAATAACTTATGTATAACCTACGTAATATCTTAAAAATATAAAACCTTACAACATGCTAACAAGAAAATTCAAATAAGACTCGCATTAAATTGCTAATTGAATACGCATACATAATAACAACGCTATTCAAAAACTATATACTGTAGAAAAGGTACCATTAATGTTTGGTTGAGAACGTCTTCCTGAAGGTGTTATGTTCAGAAAACTTGTCGAAGGCGTTTCGTGCGATGAAAGGTCATGCGCAACTGCAAAGCAATAACGTGTTGCAGTTAGTTGTGAAGAAAAAAAAACATTTCAAACGACACGAAATGAACGTAAATGAAAACGTAACAACAAGACATGCAATAATGAATTGTAAGAAAAGCTTGCCAAAGACAACACTGTTTCGTTCAGATTGTCTTTCTCTTGTTGTGCCAGTTGTAGGAATTCCTTGTGAAGAGACGTTGCTTGTATCTACAGAGAAGACACGTACTGGGTTTAACATATATCTTTATTGAACGCACGAACGTCATTTAAATTAAAGCACTACAAATTTTAAAAATCAGAAACAGAAAGGTGACTAAAATAAAAACCTCGGGAAAGTTTCATTTAGTAGTTTGATAGCAAACGCTGAAAATTAGATTGGAACGAATGTATTTTGACTAAATCGTGGTGAATACCACTGCAATTTTAACTATAACTAACATTTTTTCAACTAATTACAACATTTTAAAGGACCAACGCCTACAGCAACTGTAGAACATACATAAGCCCTATAATGCAACGATGGACGTAAAAAAACAGTAAATGTACAATACAAATGTTAAAGTTATTTAAAAAGAATCAATCAAAATTATTTCAACATTTTAGTCGACATATTATATGAAAGTTGCTGATTAGTCAGTTCTGATGACAGAAAACTTACCGCTACGTTGAGATGGTGTCCTACAAGTAGGTGGGGAAGTTATTGCATGATCCTTTGTGTTTAGGATTTCTGGTGCTAGTTCACCGTGATATAAATCTAGATCAATATTATATTAGTATGATAAGAGAAATTTTATACATGCATGTTTCTGTCAAAAAATTGTCCTCTTGTACCAGGATTATAATAGCGCTTATACCTTTTTCTGCAAGGGAGATCAGCTCGCTGTACACCGGCAAATCTAAAAAGCAAAATCACTCATTAGATTTAAATGCAACATAGCAATATGTGAAAAACGGCACTTCTTTGAATAAAGCAATGGCCTATTGCATTGCAACTACAGTACTTACTTCTAGAATTTATTGATAAGATTTCATTGACGGCTGAAAGAAATTTTGCCTGTATACAAAAGAAACTGCCTGAATTCTGTAGCTTTCCATCTGTCAACCTCCATTAAACTCCTAGGTTTTTGCACATATGTTGAGGGGATAAATGGTTCAAGCTCCACCAATTTTTTCCTAACATCCTCTACATGGGCAACAGACATTTTAGCAGCGCAATTTCCCCTCATCCAAACCTTAATCAATTTACACATAACACCCAGACACAGTTGATACATGTAGTCAATTGGAAATTGTTTTACCATATCAACAGGCGAGTGACAGAAAGGGCTAATAAAGCGATGATGTTCTTCTTGTATCTGCTTTCTAAAAGAAATATTAGTGCGCAGCTCTATATTATTATTTTGAGAGTAAGTCACTTGACCAAGCCACTTCCCTTTATGTGTACACTTGTCACAACCAAAATAACCAGTACAAAATTTTGTACCTTTAACAAGTACTCTTGCAGGAGCATCACAAACAATGCTCCTTACTGTAACAGTCAGAACCTTTTCCCCATCTTGGACTCCCCTCTCTAGAATACCCTTGAAATCTTCTATAAACTCATCCAAAAACTCCAAGTCTTTTGGCTTGGAGTCACCACATGTTCGGACAATAGGAAACACTACAACAGGTTTGATAGTCAAAATGCCAAACAACACTGGCGATACATTTTTTGGAGAACTTTTAAGCAAAGAAAGCCCATCAAGTTTTAAAGAGATTTCAAGATGATTAATGTTCTTAACTGTTTCACAAGGATGCTTGTGAAAGTGCTTTAACAATTGTTCACCAAAAGAAAAGTATACTTAATCCATGCCAGAATTTTTCTGTATGGGAATACATCTTGATGTATGCAACAAAGTTCAAAAGCTGAACTAGGCAAATTTGGATGACCATTATCCTTAGGAAGAGCAAGCAAACCATCAACAGCATTTTGCTCAATTGAGTACTCATTCACCCAATCAACTAACCCATCTTGAAAAGAAACATTTAAACTATCATCTTCAAATTCAGAAGAAACAGAACACTGCATCTCCCTAATGTCTGCATTCACATTTACCAAAGAATCAGCTTTTCCATGTCAAAAAGAAACATTATTGAACAGATTACTACAGCCATCATCATTAGGCATTGCATCACTGCATCTTAAAGCTCTATTAGCAGCAATCCAGTTTTCTTCCGTATTGCGCCTGGTCTCGTTTCATTATGATATGAACTAAAATAAATAATAAAATGTAATCAGTACTCTTATTATTTTGATTAATTTTAAACATATCCTAATGTTACAACTCCATCTACAGGTTATGGTAACTTATATGTCTCCTCAACCATTTGTAACTTATTCTCTTCTTTACATGCATGTATCATACCTAATTTTATACATAACCCTAAAATTTTAAGTATAACATTGTTTTACTTGCTAACAACAGCAAATGGAAAATGTTCTAAGTAACTACATAAAAATAATTTAACTGACATTGCAAGCTTACTAAAGAAATAGGCTAAGTTAATAAACCAATCTAAGAGATAAAAAAGTGGGTTGTAAACTACATATTGTCTTGAATGCAATAATTGGACAAACGATACTTACTAGTATTATAAAGCAACCATGCATTGTTATGAATAAACATTCAATTACCTCTTTGTAAAATTATATTACTGTTTAAAAAATGCTGTGATTTGCAATAGAAACTACAACTATTTTAAGGTTTAAGGCTACGTAATTCTTAATCAAAAACACTTTGTAAATCACATAATCACATAACACCATGTTAAAACATATTAATCATCACCGCTTATTAGTGAGTTAATATAATTCCACATATGTTAAACGTGATATTTACGTAAGATTTCAGATATAAATCAGAATTTTGACAATGAAATTCATACGATTATACATCGGGAATTTAATGATCACAAAAAATTGTAATCATTAAATTTGATAAGTAATTTTTGAACTATAAACATCAGTCGCGTGAATGATTTGACATACCCTAGATCCGCCCCTGCATGTTATGACAAAAACAACCATACGTACTGATGAATACCATATCCAAATGCTGTAGCAACGTGTAGTGATAATATTATCTTTATAAAATAAAAATAGAAATTAAAACCTAAGTAAAAACTAAGCTTAGTAAATTTGTTTGTTCCTACACCAATATACCTGACTCATAAAGTCACGGCAAAAGTAACATACGACAATCTCTAGATTATAAAGAATGATAAAATAAAGGTACTTACCACAATTTTACGCATTGAAACATATTCTAGATCATAACTGCCTTTAAACTTGGAAAGCGAGCTGTGCATTATCTTGTCCTAAGCAACGATGGGCAAATCTGATTCTTGCACGAACGATTTTCAAAATGAACATGAACGCCGATTTTTACAGGTATCGAAATAATTTTGATGTCGAATTGATTTAAAGAACCGTTATCCATGACAAATATTTGAGATAAGTAAACGTCGCGAATGCCTTAAATACCGAAAATCCTTGTTTGTAAACGTTATCCGCCATACATTTTATAGTATTTTTATCTCTAGTGGGTAACAGGAAGCATTTTGCATATATAACTAGTTTCACATTTAAAGCTGAAGCTCAAAATAAATCGCGATTTCTGCTGCCAAGCAAGAAACCTGATGTAGTGTTCATCGCAGAAACATAGCCACATGATGCTTGTAATCTTGAGATATCTGAGTGTAATATGTTTATAAAAACAGAGCTTTTTGACCACATGGAGGTGGTGTATATTCACATATAAAAAATTCTATTCAGTTTACAGTTCTTGACTAACTTAGTTGACCACGTTTGAGGCTTTTTGGTTTAAAATTATGCCAATCAACTAGTTATAAACTAATTAGTTAATTCAATTACAGCAATGGACATTTTTATATTCTTGTGTGTGAAGTCGTTTCAAATTGTGCTTTTAATCGACTTAACTTTTGCCATCTTACCAACTAAATTTGACAGAAACAGCTTGAAATATACCTAAATGATACAACCAAACATCGGACATGATCTTAACAAATCTTTATAGTTTCTACAATAAGAATTCTATATCAGCTTTCCTTCGTTTAATTTATCAGAATATAATGTAATGTTATCTTATCAAGGCGTGAAATTTACTTTCCACAACATTTAAGCCAACGAACGCCTATTTTGTCTTATTCAACTTAAACAAGCAAATGAAACAAAAGTTCCACAATCTGATATTATGAATTTTCATGTATAAGACCAACTCTTAATTATGGAGCTAAGGTTTTCTTTAACAAACTCCCAAAATACCAAGGAAACGGTAATAAAATTCAGACATGTTAATAAAAACAATAAAAATCATAAGGCCGTATCTTTGCTTTACATAACAATAAGCTTTCAATGTTTTAAATTAAGTTGCACAAAATAATTTGTCACGTATCAACTCCAAGGACGCAACCATTTGACGCTTAACTCTTCAGAACGTTAAGTGATTTGAAAGATCAAATGTTGAAAGTTTGGAGCCATCAACTAGTAAAAGGTTTGTAAGACTAAAGATAAAGAATTATCGTGTGTGTTAACGATCTGTAAATGAGATCTTAAATAAAAATTGCTCGTCATATTTAATTAATAAACTTTTAAGAAATATTCGTCACACCCAAGTACTATAAAATATACATCATCCATACCCGAAATCCTGTAATTATATATCAATCAAACCAAGTTACAAGTACAAACATATTAACTGCTTACCAAGACAATTACTGCCATTCATCTAAAATAAGGCGTGTTTATCATGATGTGTTTAATTGTAATTTAATTTATGTTTATAAAAAGTGGTTTTCGCCTTTTAGCAACGTTATTATTTTGGACATTTAGCTTTTTTAAATGTTTATCAATAAAACATTTATACTAAAGATTTCAACAAGCACAATTTAGACGTTCATGACATATAATTGCGCAATGATATTGTGTTATTCAACGGACAAGAGTACCACTAATATAAAAATAAAATTGACATATCAAGCTGTAGTTTTTTACCAATCGCTCTCAAAATACCTTAAAAATGGTATAATGTAATATAATTTACACTTCATATTTCTATAGATGAATTCGATCCAAATTGAATTCAAACTTACAAAGAAAAACAATAAAAATCATAACGCCGTATCTTTGCTTTTACATAACAATTATCTTTTAATGTTTTAAATTCAGTTGCACAAAATAATTTGTCACGTATCAACTCAACAGATGCTTTCCATTTGACAACTTATCAGAACGTCAAAGAAATCTGAAAGATCGAATGTTCAAAGCCTCAATCATCGACCAGTAAAAGGTTTGTAAGACTAAAGACAAATATGTGTGTGAACGATGTATAAATGAGATCTTACATAAAAGTTGTTCGTCAAATATAATTAATACACTTTTATAATTATTAGTCTCAACCTAGTAATTGATACCATATTACATCATAGATACCCGTAGCAACTTGTGATCCTGTAGTTGCCACCAATTAAACAAAGTTACAAATACAAACAATTTGCTTACCAAAATCACTGTCATCTAAAGGAAAGCGGTGTTTATCATAATGCCTTTTGTTAAGTAATTCAAATTGCTTGTTAGCATGCAATTATATTTTTATATGACAGTATATTTTATGTGTGTTATTTCATTATACTTGTGATGATATGAAATGACATTTATGAATCAGGAAGAAAATTTGGTTTGAAATTGCAAATGGACTCATGCATGTCATCATTGAATATTTTAAATATTTAGTGCCTTTGATGCTGTAATTATCTTCGTCGAGCTGTTGACGCTAAGGTGATACATGCAAATTCATAGAATTAAATAAAAAAAATGAAAATCTTTGATTTCTGATTTGTAAAATAGAGCTTGGCACATGGTAGCAGTGGCAGAAATTCTAATATAATTCTGCTCCTTTGAGGCTCTTTTGGTTAAAATTAGACCGATTAACTAATGATAAACTAATTGTTCAATTCAATTACAGCAATGAACATTTTTGTATTCTGGGTGTGGAATCGTGTTGACTTGTGATTTTGATAAACTTAACTTTTGCCACCTTACGAGTCAAATCAGATTAGCAGAAACAACTTGTAATTAAATATACCTAAAAGATACAACCAAACAATGAACTTGATGCCAACAAATCTTTATAATTTCTACAAGACTACAACGAGAATTCTCTATCACCTTCCCTTCATTTGATTTATCAGAATATAATGAAATGTCACCTTATCCAACTGTAAGATTTACTTTTCCTAACATTAGAGCAAACAAACACATATTTTTTCTACTTCAACTTAAGCAAGCAAAAGTTCCACAATCTGATATTGTGAATTTTTATATCACCTCATCTGTATAAGACCAATTTTTAAGTATGAAGCTGAAGTTTTTACCATATAGTCCCAATTATCTTGAAAACCGTAAAATTTAGTAAAATTCATACATTTCTATTAACAATTTGTTCCAAATTATATTCAAACTTATGAACATAAACAATAAAAACCATAAAACCGTATCTTTGCTTTACATAACAAACTATTCTTAAGATGTTTTAAATTCCGTGGCAAAAATAATTTTCCACATATCAACTCGAAGGAAGAATATATAGCACTTGACTTGTTAAAACGTTAAATCTGTCTAAAAGTTCAACTGTTCAAGGCTTCATGCCTTCAAAAAACAAAGAATTTTAATGCTCGATTATGACGTATAAATGTAACCTATGGAAACTTGTCAATTCTGCAATTGTAGATAAATCAAACGAAGTTACAATTCCAAACAAGAACAACATGCTTACCAAAAAGAAATCACTGCCATCTTAAACAGGGTAAGGCTTTTTTAAAAGTTTATTTAATTATTTATGACTCGTCACGAAGTACATTTACTTTAAAATCGCAAATGGACTCATGCATGTCATCATTAAATTGTTTAGATATATAAGTCGTTTTAGAATTAGAAATATTGATCAGGAAGTGTGTTATCATTGTGATAAACTAGTTTTAAGTCCACATTTTAAATGCGCTAAAAATTTGGCTAACCCTTTTTATCGTTACAATTGTCTTTCGTCAAGCTTTGGTTGCGAAGGTTCATGTATGCAAATTTATCGCATTATAGTTACAATTAATATTAAAAACAGTTATGAGTATTGCAACGTATTAATTCTTTTTAACTCTCCCACTTTATGGTCATACTGCCAAAATATCTTAAAAACGGTATATTTTAGTAAAATTTATACTTGTCTCTATTGATCAATTTTTTCCAAATTATAATCAAAATAATGAACAAAAACAATAAAAATCATAAAACTGTATCTTTGCTTTACTTAACAATCTATTCTTAAGATGTTATAAATTCTGTGGCACAAAATAATTTTCCACTTATCGACTCGAAGGAAGAATATATGATGCTTAAGTTGTCAGAACTTCTAAATCTTCTATAAGTTCAACGGTTCAGTGCTACACGCCGTTAACTAGTAGAAGGTTTGTAAGACAAAAACAAAGAATCTTTCATGCTTGATTACGACGTATAAATGTGACCTTATGGAAGCTTGTAAATTTTGGTGATTGTAGATAAATCAAACGAAGTTACAATTCCAAAAATGAACAACATGCTTACCAAAAACAAATCACTGCCATCTTAAACAAGGTAAGGCTTTTTCTAAAGTATATTTAATTATTTATCACTACGAAGTACATTTTCTTTAAAATTGCAAATGGACACGTACATGTCATCATTGAATAGTTTAGATATTTAAGTCGTTTTAGAAGTAGAAATATTGATCCGCAAGTGTGTTTACTTTGTCATAAGCTACAGTATCGCTTGTTCAATTTAGTAAGTCCACATTTTTAATGGAGCTAAAGAATTTTGCTGATCTTTGTGACGTTGCAATTGTCTTTCTTTGATGCTAAGTTGTTGACGCTAAGGTTGATACGTGCAAATTCATCGAATTAAATAATACAAGTTAGGCAATCTGGAAATTACGACCAAGCTATAGAGTTTCACGAAAAGTTAGCGGAAATTCAAGAACAATCATCAGGTCAACATCATGTTGATGATGCTCAGTCTTTGAACAATCATGGTAATTTGTTTTATGAAAGTGGAAATTACGAAAAATCTATAGAGTTTTGCGAAAAAGCTCTAGAAATTCGAAAACAATCGTTAGGACCAAATCATGTTGATGTTGCTGATTCTTTAAACAGTCTTGGTTTGGTGTTTGAAAAAACTGGAAACTACGACAAAGCTATAGAGGTTCACGAAAAAGCTCTAGAAATTCAAAAACAATCGTTAGGTCCAAATCATGTTAATGTTGCTGGTTCTTTAATCTATCTTGGTTTGGTGTTTGAAATAACTGGAAACTACGACAAAGCTATAGAGTTTCACAAAAAAGCTCTAGAAATTCGAAAACAATCCTTAGGTCCAAATCATGTTAATGTTGCTTATTCTTTAATCAATCTTGGTTTGGTGTTTGAAATAACTGGAAACTACGACAAAGCTATAGAGGTTCACGAAAAGCTCTAGAAATTGAAAAGAATCGTTAGGTCCAAATCATATTAATGTTGCTGATTCTTTAATCAATCTTGGTAATGTATTATAATACGGGAAAGTACGACAAAGCTATAGAGGTTCACGAAAAGCCTCTAGAAATTGGAAAACAATCGTTAGGTCCAAATCATGTTGATGTTGCTGATTTTAAACAATCTTGGTAATGTATTATAATACTGCAAAGTATGACAGCCATATAGAGTTTACGAAAAGCTCTAGAAATTCAAAAACAATCGTTAGGTCCAAATCATGTTGATGTTGCTGATTTTTAAACAATCTTGGTAATGTGTATTATAATACTGCAAAAGTACGACAAAGCTATAGAGTTTTACGAAAAGCTCTAGAAATTCGAAAACAAATCGTTAGGTCCAAATCATGTTGATGTTGCTGTTTCTTTAAACAATCTTGGTTTGGTGTTTGAAAAAACTGGAAACTATGACAAAGCTATAGAGGTTCACGAAAAAGCTCTAGAAATTCGAAAACAATCGTTTGGTCCAAATGATGTTCAGGTCGCTTCGTCTTTATACAATCTTGGTGATGTATTATAATACTGAAAAACTACGACAAAGCCATAGAGGTACACGAAAAGCTTCTAGAAATTCAAAACAATCGTTAGGTCCAAATCATGTTTATGTTGTTGTTTCTTTAAACAATCTTGGTTTGGTGTTTTATAAAATTGGAAACTACGACAAAGATAAAGAGGTTCACGAAAAAGCTCTAGAAATTGAAAACAATTGTTAGGTCCAAATGCTGATGTTGTTGATTCTTTAATCAATCTTGTAATGTGTATTATTATACTGGAAAGTAATGACAAAGCTATAAAGGTTTACAAAAAAGCCCTGGAAATTCGAATACAATTGTTAGGTCCAAATCATGTTGATGTTGCTGTTTCTTTTAAACAATCTTGGTTTGGTGTTTGAAAAACTGGAAACTACGATACAGAGCTAAAGAGGTTCACGAAAAGCTCTAGAAATTGAAAACAATCGTTAGGTCCAAATCATGTTGATGTTGCTGGATTTTTTAAACAATCTTGGTAATGTGTATTATAATACTGCAAAGTACGACAAGCTATAGAGTTTTACGAAAAGCTCTAGAAATTGGAAAACAATCGTTAGGTCCAAATCATGTTGATGTTGCTGTTTCAAACAATCTTGGTTTGGTGTATGAAAAAACTGAAACTACGACAAAGCTATAGAGGTTCACGAAAAGCTCTAGAAATTCGGAAAACAACGTTTGGTCCAAATGATGTTCATGTCGCTTCATCTTATACAATCTTGGTGATGTGTATTATAAATACTGGAAACTACGAGAAAGCTATAGATGTTCACGAAAAAGCTCTAGAAATCTGGAAAACACTCCGTTAGGTCCAAATCATGTTGATGCTGCTGTTTCAAAAACAATCTTGGTTTGCGGTTTTGAAATAACTGGAAACTACGACAAAGCTATAGAGGTTCACGAAAAAGCTCTAGAAATTGGAAAACAATCGTTTGGTCCAAATGATGTTCATGTCGCTTCGTCTTTATACAATCTTGGTGATGTGTATTATAACACTGGAAACTACGAGAAAGCCATAGATGTTCACGAAAAAGCTCTTAGAAATCTGGAAAACACTCGTTAGGTCCAAATCATGTTTATGTTGTTGATTCTTTAAACAATCTTGGTAATGTGTATTATAATACTGGAACCACGACAAAGCCTCCAAAGTTTTACGAAAAAGCTCTAGAAATTGAAAACAATCGTTAGGTCCAAATCATGTTGATGTTGTTGATTCTTTAATCAATATTGGTAATGTGTATTATAATACTGAAAGCACGACAAAGCTTATAGAGTTTTCCACAAAAGCTCTAGAAATTGAAAACAATCGCGGTCCAAATCATGTTGATGTTGCTGTTTCTTTAAACAATCTTGGTTTGGTGTTTGAAAAAATTGGAAACTACGACAAAGCTATAGAGGTTCACGAAAAAGCTCTAGAAATTCGAAAACAATCGTTTGGTCCAAATGATGTTCATTTCGCTTCGTCTTTATACAATCTTGGTGATGTGTATTATAACACTGGAAACTACGAGAAAGCTATAGATGTTCACGAAAAAGCTCTAGAAATTCGAAAACACTCGTTAGGTCCAAATCATGTTTATGTTGCTGATTCTTTAAACAATCTTGGTAATGTGTATTATAATACTGGAAACTACGACAAAGCTCTAAAGTTTTACGAAAAAGCTCTAGAAATTCGGAAACAATCGCTAGGTCGAAATCATGTTGATGTTGCTGTTTCTTTAAACAATCTTGGTTTGGTGTTTTATAAAATTGGAAACTACGACAAAGCTATAGAGCTTCACGAAAAAGCTCTAGAAATTCGAAAACAATCGTTAGGTCCAAATCATGTTTATGTTGCTGATTCTTTAAACAATCTTGGTTTGGTGTTTGAAATAACTGGAAACTACGACAAAGCTATAGAGGCTCACGAAAAACCTCTTGAAATTGGAAAACAATCGTTAGGTCCAAATCATGTTTATGTTGCTGATTCTTTAAACAATCTTGGTTTGGTGTTTGAAAAAACTGGAAACTATGACAAAGCTATAGAGGTTCACGAAAAAGCTCTAGAAATTGGAAAGCAATCGTTAGGTCCAAATCATGTTGATGTTGCTGATTTTTTAAACAATCTTAGTAATGTGTATTATAATACTGGAAACTACGACAAAGCTATAGAATTTTACGAAAAAGCTCTAGAAATTCGAAAACAATCGTTAGGTCCAAATCATGTTGATGTTGCTGATTCTTTAATCAATATTGGTAATGTGTATTATAATACTGGAAAGTACGACAAAGCTATAGAGGTTTACGAAAAAGCTCTAGAAATTCGAAAACAATCGTTAGGTACAAATCATGTTGATATTGCTGATTCTTTAATTAATCTTAGTTTGGTTTTTGAAATAACTGGAAACTACGACAAAGCTATAGAGGTTCACAAAAAAGCACTGGAAATTCGAAGAAAATCTTTAGGTCCAAATCATATTGATGTCGCTGCATCTTTAAACCATCTCGGTTTGCTTTATGAAAAAATAGGAAAACATGACAAAGCTATAAATTATTTTGAAAAACCCCTAGAAGTTCGAAAATTGAATGTGCCAGGTGAAGACAATACTCATGTCACTACGTTTTTGAGCAGGTTTCGTACGATGTACGAAGAAACTGAAAAATATGAGTCTCAAAAAACTCAAAGTAAATTTCCAGTTCCAAGTCATGCTCATGTTTCTCTGTCATCAAATTATTTTGGTAAGTTTGTAGGTATTATATACAACATAATGTTGGTGGCTGATTTGCGTTAATGATATTTTGTTAAAGTGGAAGTCCGGCCAGATTTCGCCCCATCTTTTTTTCAACAGGTGAAAAATATAGATTCTTAGAAACATTTTGGTGTATGTTTGAGCATTTTTGGTTTGGTATAAATTGTTTAATTTTAGCGCTAAATTTCGCTACCCGATGCGAATTTTTACAAATGGATCATGACGTCATAAGATGTTCCCACCTCGCTAGTTTATTATATTACCATAAACAAATGCCAGCCTGGAGAATTAATATTGTTAAATTTTGTGTCGAAAAACGCGTTTTTCCGCAAAATTTGGCAAAAGCATAAAAAAGACAACTATCAATACAAATATTGGTTAATAAATCTTTGGAGGACGCAATTTTGTCATAAAGTTCATCAACGAAGTTTGTTAACGCTGACAGCCATAATGAATAGATAAATAATGTTCACTATATACAGAGTGTCTATTGTCTTGTGTTTTACCAAAATACTTTTTGGCAGTCGTAATTTATGAAGTTTGTTTATCTACATTTGTTTGTAAAATTTCGCCTGATGAAAGCTGGTTCATTACGTGAAAATATATTCTGCCCCTCTATATTTTCAATTGTAAGGTAATTTTATTACTTGAAAATGTCAGCCTTGTAAAACAGTGCGTAATATATGTATATGAGATTTTGGAGCTAATGGGTAAAACGAAATGAAATATAAAGTTTTAAAAAGCTACTATCCAAAACTTTCCAAGTTATTTGTGTTATTTCTTTCCGAGCGCTAGCTGTAAATTCATTTTTTTACTTGTTGTCAAAATAGAAATTTACAGCTTGTGTGGATAAAGCATTTTTAAATATTGTTCGTAGAAATCACAAATGGGGATGATGCTAATGCTAAAGATGTCGGAAATTCTCCTAGTGTTGAAAATACAAAACAAGGTATGCCTTTCAATTCTAATTTATTTTTTATATATTAATGTAATAAGATATATGAGTATTTTTCATCACATGTCTAAGCAACACTGAATGGTAACATTTGCGCCTTGTTTAATCTGTTTTAAGCATGACAGTAAAATCTTATCACTTCACACTTTGTACTTGAAGCACATTATCAGCCAATTGAAATTAACACGAGATATAGGGTGATGATGACATCATGCAATCCATTTTTTAAAGTAACGTTTATTTATATTCTGTTTGTTTAATCATAAAACTCTCAACAAACTATCCTTGGATATAATGTCATACTCACGTTTGCAGCACCATGCATACACTACCTAGCTAATAACATTGAAAATTATGCAAAGAACGGCCACCATCAAATCGACTTGCTCAATAAACTTCAATAAAGAATTTTGTTCATTGTAACAGTACCTGAAAATCTTGGCAGAATCGAGCAAATTTTACGATGTGAATTCTCAAAATTCCACAGGTAAAAAGAAGGCTGTTTCATAATTTTCTACTATGACAAATGTAGAATTAAATTTGACATTTATTAAACGATCTCTCTAAATTGTAAATTTTACAGAAAAAATACAAGTTTTTGATCTCTCTTTGCTAAGCATATTAAAGATTACCCTTCAGTGTGAATATCATTCAAAAGTCCAAATACATCATTTTCTAGCTTAAAATTAGATTTGAATACTTTTAATAGAAGTGCATTTTGAAACTTGCATATAATAAAAAGTTGCTGCATTAGTTTTTTCACTAGAAAATTTCCCAAAATAGATAAGCAAATAACGCTAATAATCGCAAACATAAAAACAACGACTTTATTCCATTGATTTCAAAAAATTACTCTCAATTGATCCCAAAAATAAATAAATATAATTATTTGCACTTTATTAGAAGAGCAAGTGACTCAAAAATCTCATTTATGATTCAAACTGTGTCTTTAATTGTTGATTGTCAAATGGCTTGATGACCTCCATTAAAAACTGCGCGTGAATCAGACCAAGCTACTTACGACTTAAACCAATTCGAGCAAGAATAACGCTGCCAAGGAAATATCGCCACAATAACTCAATGGCTGTATCATGTTTTCTCAGATATTGTAGCACGGACCACTTATAGGGGCCGAAACTATAACTTTAGTGGTTTGAGAGTGATGTTTAATAACACTGCAGCTAAAATATCGCTTACAGAACTCCAATCGCTGTATTATGTTTTCTTAGATAATGTACACGGACCACCGTATAGAGACCGGAACTAAAAACTTTTAGTGGGTGCGGGAGGGGCTTCTAATAACACTGCTGAAATATCTCTTACAGAACTCAATGGCTTGGCAATGTTTTCTCAGATATTGTAGCACTTACCACTGGCAGAGGACCCAAAACTATATCATTGGTGAGGTGGGGAGGGGTGTTTAACAACGCTGCTGCTAAAATATCGCTTACAAAACTCAATGGTTGTATCACGTTTCCTAAGATTATGTAGCACGGACCACTGTATAGAGAACCGAATCTATAAATTTAGTGTAAAGGGGTACAATTGTTTTTCTTCCGTCATCATATATCATTTCACCTCCTACTACTTTCACTTCAAAATCTTATGATGTCTAGTGATTATTGTAATTAAGTTTTAGGTATAATCTTAACAGATTTTGATTTCATCACTAAGTAATTTATGATTATTTGATGGTTGATAAAACTTAATTTTGAAAATGAACATTCTGTATTCTAATGCTTCGGGAATTCAAAGAAATTTGAAGCTACCTTTTAGTTTATTGTTTTTGTGTCACTTACCTCAAGAAATTAATATCTTTGCCATTTTCAGAAAAACAGTTTCCGAAGTGGAAATGCACTCGAAAATCAACAGCACAAAAATTGTTACAAGCTGAGAGAATATGACCGTAATCCCAATGTCGCTGGAAATGGGTGATGTACGCGTAATTTTCTCAGACGAGTTTTGCATCGGCAAAGGAAATAATGAAACCCGTGTTTATCTTGGACTCAAAGGGATGGTTTCGGTAAAGCAGTGAAACGAATACGTCGAGATAACTGCCCTCAATGATGCACTGCAAGAAAAGAATTTTAAATGATTTCAGCGCAAAAGTCGAGATATGTTGTACTATTCCAACATAAAAGATGAAATCGGGTCAGAATATGTGTATTTGATATTAGACTTATGTGAAGAATCGCTGGAGAATTTTGTGAATTCTTCTTTCTCAAACTGATCTTCAAAAGCTCTTCCTGAAATTCTAGCAAATTTTAAAAAGGATTGGTTGATCTTCATAGCAGTGTACCATCTATTCTTCATCGTGATTTAAAGCCATCCAATGTTCTCTGAGACCCACAAAGCGAATTTCTCTATAGCTGATTTTGGTATCAGCCGAATATTAAAAAATGATTCTAAGACATATAAAAGCAAGCCTAACAGGGGAACTGAGGATTGATTGTTCTGAATCATAATATTGTGAAGTCCAAGATTCAGCTGATCAAGCTGACGATACAAAAGAGTCTGATGTATATGTAAGTGCAGGAAAGTCAACATTTACATAATCACGCATAAATCTGATTGTGTTGTTATTGTTTTGCTATTAGCCGCGTTTTTCATTATTGTAGAATGCAGGAATGGTGGCTTATTATGTTGCAACAAAAGGTGAACATCCTTGGAAATAAACGGCATAGATTGAATAACATGTTGAACGGAAACCCTGTTATTTGACGAAATCCGGATGAGACACTGAAAGACCTTCTTCGTGGATGTTAAATCTAAAACCAGAAGACAGACCATCCGCCATTCAAGCGTTAAACACCCATTTCTGGCGTCGGATGACGAAAGTTTGACTTTTATGTAGTGGAAACCAACAGCCAATAAAGATGCTGATACCGAGTTAAGGTAGTCAAAACAATTAAATAGCAAGTATTCAAATTGGAAAAGTTTTATGGACACTGATGTATATGATTATTTAAGAACAGACGAGGAAAAGGGAAAAATGTATGAGTATGGTCCTTCATTGACACAATGCCTGAGACTAACTTTCGAAATATAGCCAACATTGTACGATCGACCACGGCCAAGACTACAACTATTTTATAAGATTATGATCACAAGACATTTTTCTCGCATATGCCTGAATCTCCCCTGCTTGGGTGCATGCTGCTGTGGGAGGTCAAATGAAGAATTTAGAAAGTATCCAGAACTCAAGAACTTTTTCTAATTAAAGCAAACCACATCAATAAACAATGCCTCAAACAGCAACATGGATCAACTAGTTCAGGCAAAATCTGTTTCCTATATTTTAATGAATATGCAGATCATATTTAATTAGCAAATTATTTCATGTTATATACTCAGTACCTGTGGCATAGCACAGGATGGCTTTTCTCTATGTGTTTGGGTGGGTGGGTGATGAACTCATATAGCCTTTGCTAGAAGGAGACAAGAGAAGTACAAATTTCTTACAAACTGTTAATTTCTAACCTGGATTTGTATAATGGAGCATAATCCACATATCTCAATAATTGTAATGAAAGTGACAGTTCAGGTTTTATATTGCAGGACTATGTTATTTGGGCTTTATCATATTAGTCATTCAAATCAGCAACTACCCAAAATCAAATTTTTAACTCGCATTTACTGAATGAAATATATGATTTCCACTACTAGGTGTTTTAAGATAAATTGATTCTGCCTGTGCACTTTTTTCCATTGTAATAAATCTTCTTTTAATGATGCTGCAGCATCTTTGCATTTTTTTTTAATAACATCACCTTGACTTGAAAAACAACCTAAGCCTGTGAAAGTGTAAGGATTTGAAAAGAATTTGTTTAAGAAAAACCTGCCTATGTAATGAATAACGTATCCTGTAATTAAATGCCAAGATCCGGCATTATATACCCTTTACTTGGGCAATGTGTTCTTTGTAGTTTGAACATGTTTACGCCTTTCTACGGGATGTGGTCATGGTGATTAATGATAATGCTTTTGTTATCTACCAAATGATTGAATGCATACTATAGCGTCAGTTCGTAAAATAAACACTGATATGAATGATGATTACAACCCCATTTCTTTTCCTTGCCCTTTAGTTTTATATTTACATCAAATATCATTTGCCTGATGACATTGGAATGTTTCTTTGTTACAACACAATGAATGGAATGCCATAGCGAAAAGTAATGAAATCACCTTATTGCTTTGGGTCCACTGCAGCCTGGTACATGGATTTCTACATTGTAAAATTCCATAAAAGCTTTATATAAAATGTAAATTTATACTTTATATTGTGAGTTTGTTTAAGGTTAGGACAAGTAGAGATGACATTAATACTTATATGGTGATGGTATTTAAAAGATTAATGATATAATTTAGATGGCGATGATTAAATCTGAATGGTGATATAATTTAGAAGATTGTACAAAGTTCAATGAGAAAACAGTAAGCTTGTTAAAAAGCTAAGAGAGTAAGGATTATCTAAGAAAACACTCTTTATTTAAAGGGTCCAGGTGAGTAAGGTCAGCTAATAAATGGAAAGTATCACAGCGACAACGACAATTGTTAAAAATTTCTATGCCTTGCAAATAGGATAAAATTATATAATATTTCAATTGAAAATTTTAGTTATGAAACAGAGATTAGTCAATTTTAATTAATACTGACTCAGCGACGTAGCTGAATAACGAGCGACATTTTAAATAATTTTAAAGTTTTCATCAAAATAAGCATTGGCACGCGAGTTTTGGTTTAAAAGATTTTCCAATCACAAAAGGATTACGTGCTTAATCTGTCTCTGTTTTAAGTGCATTCTAAAAATAGGGATGACATTGACCTTGTAACATTATAAATATAGTATGATTTGGAGGTTCTCATTTAGAAGACGTTGACACCTGACGAGTACTCTGCAGAAATGCATAGTGTCTCTTTCTAACTGTAAATAACGGTTCCTTTAAATTGTTGCGTTAGTGTTTTGTTAAAACAGTTCTTTAAGAACTATTACATTGTTATTATCACCATTCACCCAGGGCGGATCTAGAGTATGTCAAATCCGTCGCGCTGACGATGTTTGAAACCAAAAATTAATGCATTCATATTAGTTAAAAAAGTCATTAATTATTCTTACTTCATTATCGCATTTATTTCTGTGATGAAATCCAACTTTATTATTGAAAACTAATGAATAACAATAAATATATCCTTGGTAACCAGATCAGTTGAATTTTAATTGACCTGAATAACCGACTGATAAGCGGGTGGCTTTGACTGGTCTGACGGATAAGGAGTCTACGAATCAAAAAACGCTTATTTCATTGATTAACAGCCAGATCAGTGGACGATCTGAATAACTTTGACCGATAAGCGTGGCCGGACCTATAAGGAGTCCACTTCTATACGTAATTGGTTCGTTTAAATTTTTGTCTTACTATGATTGGTTTGACTCTATTTCGACTGATAGCCAACTGAACTAACATAGTCATTTCACTGTCTGAATTGAATGTTTGATCGTTTCATAATAATTTCTAAAGCTACGATAGAAACTAAACTACAATCAGATGGAATTTATGGAAATCTTACAAATCTATATTGACATGAATGCTGCTTTCCAAACTGGGAATTTTTTCAATAGGGCGAAAATTATGGATGAATTGAAAATGCTTGGCAAAGACGATCTCGCGATGACATTTCAGCCATTGATGTTCAAAAGCAAGCCACATTGTTTTGAGTTATCAGCAGAAATTTACATCCAAAATCGTAAGTGAAGGACAATGGTGAAGCGTATGCATGAATGTAATATATCAAAGTCAATTTATGCGAGTGTGTGATGCGATTTATGTTAATATGGCGTATGGTGTTAGGATTGATGCTTCTAAAATTGTTGCCGAAGGACTTTAGCTTATGATTTCTTTAGTAGTTTAAATCGTGGCCGCTATATGGCAGCGAAATCCTACATTCCTGCAAATATTTCATAAATGGATAAAAAATCTGTAGCCATAGGCGCCATAATTATTATTTACTATATCATAAACAAAATGTTTGGGGTTTTCTGCCATGATCATTGATCATTCAATCATTAGAGAGTTATAGTCAGCATATTGTTTAAGATTTGAGAAAAACCACATTGATTACGCGAGAAGCTGTTTACTATAACCTGTGATTTTGAGTCTTCTGATCCATGAAGCTTTTATTTTGACAATTTGACTGGAATAGTATTAAACCTGAGCTATTTCTACATACATGAAATGTTGTCCCATGTCATATATTGTCTCCCTTTTTCTAACTGAACACCTCATGTGAGATGTAAAGGTGTGTTAATCTTACGGCTCATATTAGTTGTTTTGCCAGTAATTCCTAAGGGCTATTGATGTATGAAAAACATTTTCTATAAAGTAAAGATGTGTTCCTAGGTATGCAGATAAGCCTTGAAATTTGGCAAAATAGCCAAGTATTTTTCATGATCACTAGGTAATTTTTCTGATGATAATTATAATTTTTAAACTAAATTATTTCAGATTTACATTTTAAGTAGTTTTGATTCTATGAAAAGATATTTATCATAACCAGTAAGCATGACACATGAACCAATTTTAACATTCATGTAATTAAATAATTAAAGACATGTTGGTTACATTCTGTTTGTATTTGATAATACAATGCTACTTGTTAATGCCCATATCACCTCTGCATCTACTTACAGAAGATAATAGTCGCGAAATGCCTAATAAACATTTATGGCATTAAGCTGTCCTTAACTGCAAATTTTCACTCTGGATAATTTTCTTGCTTAATCTTGGCAGAAAAATTTTGAGTTTTTCTCAAAAGGTGAATTTGCTGGCACTGGATGTGAGATGGGTAAAGGGTTACA